CTTCCACAGGTACACCTGATCTCTTGGAGATTTCAAATCGTATGCCTATATATATTCCTCTGACAAATAAGGAAGACCAGGTGAAGTGGACTATAGCAACAAATGGACAATTTTCTTCTAATTCAGCTTGGAATCACCTTAGGGCCCCTAGGCAAGAGGTACCTTGGCACCATCTGCTGTGGTATGGACAATGCATACCCAGGATGAGCTTCATTCTTTGGCTAGCAATAAAGGAAAGGCTTAGCATTAAAGATAGAATGCAAAAATTTGCGCCAGATGTTGATGTGACATATATCCTATGTAGGCATGACATGGAATCTCATTCTCACCTCTTTTTTAGTTGTCAGTTCTCACAAGATATTTGAATTTTTATTNCAAAAATTGCGCCAGATGTTGATGTGACATGTATCCTATGTAGGCATGACATGGAATCTCATTCTCACCTCTTTTTTAGTTGCCAGTTGTCACAAGATATTTGAATTTTTATTATGCAACTGTGTGGTGAACAAGGTCTACCGAGCTCTAGGCAGAATTTCATCGATTATGCAAGTCAAAGTTGGAAAGGTAAGTCACTTGGTAAGGNAATTAAATAGAGACTCATTGCCCCCTTAAAATAAATATTTTATTTTTCCATTGAGTAAACTAAATTTGAAATGTCTTGACCTATTTTCATTTTGACCAAAGACACTACTCTTCTATCTAATCTAACACTTCCTATTTTTTAAAATTATTTTATATATTTTATATTTACTTTTCTTTTAGCATGTTAGTTGCCTNCTTGGCAACTACTGTGTATATAATATGGAAGGAAACGAATAGAAGACGTCATACAAACCAGTTTAGGGATAGTAGAAGTCTTGTAAAGTGTGTCTTGCAAATCATCAAAGATAGATTAGTCACAATCAAATTCAAGAGTTCCCCCAAAAACTTGTCTCTCCTTCAAGCTTGGCAGCTTCTTGCTGTGGCTTAGGTTCAACTGATATGTGCTGGGAATATTCTGCGTTTGTGGATGAGGCAGGAGCTGTTAGCCTGTTCTGCGCACTGGGGTGCCCTTATACATGATGATCATGGTTAATCGTTGTTTGCTATGCTGGTTCTGGGGACATTTGCTTTGGGACGGATCATGTTGCTGGTAGTCTCCTGCGCCTTGAAGTTTTTTGTTGACAGGAATGCACTGTTCAAGTGCACAACTTGTTTAATGCAACTGCTAGCCTTTCTCCTATGTTTTCTTCTTTCTTTAGCAGACTGTTGATGACCTTTATCTGTTGTTTCAGCTGGTTCCCCTTAGCTGCCTTTTATTATGGTGTCTGCTGCCTGGTCTCCATTGCAGCCTGCCATAGTCGCTGGGCACTGTTCACGGCTTTCTTGTTTCCCTGCTCTTGAATGCTGCCTTGATTGCTGCATGTTTGCTCTGTTATGAGGAGTTCATCCTAAGAGCATGAAAGGTTCTTCTGACTCCTTCATCCATTTGTTCTCCCACTTGGCTGTTGGCATGTATGTTGGCATTGGGCTTTCCATATTATCTGATGGAAACCACTTTGCTTTCTTTGTCTCCTTTGAGTCTGGATTCTGTTGGAAGTACCAGCTCAAGGCTGGCACTTTCTTTAGAATTTTACACTCTTGGTTGTTGTAAATCTTTTGGTTCTATTTTTGTATTGGGTGGATGCATTGTCATGTGAGTATCACCTCTGTTTTTTTTTTCTTATGAATATATTGACCTTCCGTAACTAAATTGTTAAAGGACAGATTCCCAAATTTTCGGTTTTACATTGCCAAATTTTGTATGTTAGAAATTTTACTACGCATTTAGGCATTTTCCATCCAAAACATATCATACATTTTGTTTACGATAATGTGAAGTAATTCAAATAGTCCAGGGGGTACTTTGAGAAACTCAATAGTTAAAGGACAAACTATTTGCCAAAAAAAATTGGACAAACTACAATTTTATGAAATTTATGATATTTGCCTCCCTAATTCTTTTTTCAAATTTCTATCATGGCCCTGATTTTTTTATTTTTGATTAAATAGAAACTCATTGCCCCCTTAAAATAAATATTTTATTTTTCCATTGAGTAAACTAAATTTGAAATGTCTTGACCTATTTTCATTTTGACCAAAGACACTACTCTTCTATCTAATCTAACACTTCCTATTTTTTAAAATTATTTTATATATTTTATATTTACTTTTCTTTTAGCATGTTAGTTGCCTATAATCCATAAAGCATGATTAAATGTAATAGTAAACTGTTGTAACCTAAAAGTTTTCTCTTCTATATCAAATAATCAATTTCTCAACAAGATTGAGAAAAATCTCAAATAAGTTTTGCAAATTAAAATGAAGGATAAGGACTCTGTGATTGTGTGAATTAAAAGAACATTAGAAAAAAATTTGGCTTGCAATTAATTGTTTTTTGGAGATAAGCTTACAATTAATTAATTATAAAAAAATGAGAGATTTCAAAGAATATTTTTGTTAACTTTAATATATGATTCAANGGGAATATTCTGCGTTTGTGGATGAGGCAGGAGCTGTTAGCCTGTTCTGCGCACTGGGGTGCCCTTATACATGATGATCATGGTTAATCGTTGTTTGCTATGCTGGTTCTGGGGACATTTGCTTTGGGATGGATCATGTTGCTGGGGGTCTCCTGTGCCTTGAAGTTTTTCGTTGACAGGAANTTCATGTTGTTTGAATAAAAAATGACTTTACTACACGTATAATAATTTAGAGTGTGTTTGACATGACTTAAAAAAAAGTGTTTTTTGGAACTTTTAACTTATGAAAAATATTTTTTTTTAAAAAGTAGTGTTTGGCTTAACTTGTTAAAAACACTTTTGATAAATAAAAGTAATTGAGCACTTAAATAAGTTAATAAAAAAAAGTAAATATAATTAACTTTTACTTTTAAAAATTACTTCTCATTTTCTCCTCACTCCCCCCGATAGCTCTCTGTAAGTCCCCGTCGCCCTATTCTTCGATAGCTTAGACAATGAGAAACTCACCAATGGATGAAGGAGCAAAAATTGAACTCTCCCAAAGGTTTTCCACCGCCTCTTCCAATACACATTTCACTTTAGCTTCATTGTCTGCCGGAGATTTCTTTTTCCTTGATTTCTCAACCCGAGTCAAAGCTTGAGATTCCTCCGCTAGGTCTTCCAACAAACCACTATTTCCTAGTGGAAATTTTGGTGTAATTTCATACTCATCGGCATCAATTGATGTTGCATCTATTATATAGCCACTCCCAGTGTTTGCAGACGAAGTTGGTGATGGTTTTGGCATTGGTGATTGGATTGCAGGCAGCTCAATACCCTTGTCCAATGAACTGTTTGGATAAAAAGAAANGAAGTTGGTGATGGTTTTGGCATTGGTGATTGGATTGCAGGCAGCTCAATACCCATGTCCAATGAACTGCTTGGATAAAAAGAAACTTCCTTATGAGGTCTTGGATTGTTGTTGTAACAGAAAGAATTGAAGTGAAGTGAAGGTGTTTGTTGAAATAGCTCACTGGAAAAGTCAAGATTAAACCAAGGCTCTGTGGCCGAAGGAAATAGCAAACTGGGGGTTGTAAATGACAAAGCGAGACCACCATTGTTGTCACGAAAGAGATTGAACTGAGGGTTGAAATTGGGGAGAAATGAAGAGTTTGGGTGGTGCTATGGAGGATTGGCAGTGGGTGGAAACAATACATTAATACATTAATTTAAGTTTTCACATCCAAACGTACTTTTATAATATACATTTATTAATTTAAGTATTTTTTCTTCAATCTGTTTCCAGTCCCCAGTCCCAATTAAACTAGTCGGAAATCCTTGCTTCACCCTTGTGTATATGCATATATTTGATAGATTAGACAAGTTCACGTATTTACCCCTTGAACCCATTAATGCTAGACCCTATTTCTCAAACTTTGTATGAATTTCATGTCTAGTTTACAAGTCATGTCTAGAATATTCAAGCCTACTCTGAACAGTGATATGGGATAGTAATAAAATACTAATGAGCTGCTTTATATAGCCTATTTGTACTAGTGGAGTAGTGTTGGCATGTAATATAGAACCTCAATCCTTTTGGCCTGTACTAGAATACATACCGAATTCAGCTAGATTCTATTGATGATGTTCGCAGAACTAACTGGTTCTCCCCAAAATGCTTTGAGGCATAGCAATTGATTGAATATCTCGTTTGCTTTTCTTATTTTAGATACTATTTTAAAAAAAATAAAAATTAAGAATTCATGAAGGCTCAAATTAAGATTAGTGAGAGCTGGAATGGGATAATTATATAATTAGAAATCTTTGGTTGTAAAATTTATATTCTATTATGAATGTCTTAGACTCCTTGTTTTATTTTTTAGTTTTATTTTAAAAGATAATATAATTGTATACTAATTATGATTTTTTAACAAAAAATTAGAATTTTATTTTTGATTTTATTTAAATAAATAATACAATATAACAAGAATTTTGATCGTAAAATTTAAAATATTTGATATTTTATCTTTAATTAAAGTATTTTGTTTGTCTAAGTATAACATTTTAAACTTGAAAAGTCTAAGTATTATAAGCCTACAAACTTCAAAGAGTCTAGATTTAATGTACTAACGAAGATATTAACTGACATTAACAGCAAAGGTCTAAATGTTGCACGCATGGGGTCTGTGGATAATATTTTAAGTGTCAGGAAATCTGAGTGATTAAATGACAAATCTTGAAGGTCCGAATGTAATTCTTCCTTATTTATATCGTTAGAAATCTTTTGTCTTCTTTGTGACCCAGCCATGGCTATCCCTTATCTTGTTGGCAAAAAAGTTGATCTTATAATATATCAAAGGGACCATACTTTTTATGAGACCTCGTGCCCCACGAGGGTCTTATGGGGTCTGTACATACACACATATATAGAGAGAGCAATGCAACCTCACAAACCCCAAGTCACCACCATTCACGTACACCAATTCTCCAGTCACTCTAGATTCTTATTTTCTCTTGCAAATGGCAAAATCAGAGGAGGTAGAGGCTTTTGGATGGGCAGCTAGAGACCCTTCTGGTGTTCTCTCTCCCTTCAAGTTTTCAAGAAGGTTAGGGCTGCTCTCTTGTTGAAATTTCTGGTGCATTTGCAAGAAGAAAAGATTTTGGTTATTAGTTAGTGTAAATGAAAATATTAATTGAATAGAGATGGTGAGAATGTGTGTGATCTAATGGTGCAGGGCTACTGGTAATCAAGATGTGAGGTTGAAAGTATTGTATTGTGGGATTTGTCACTTTGACCTTGAGATGAACAAAAACGAATGGAGCATTACAGTGTATCCAAATATCCCAGGGTATGTTTGGTCTCTCCTTTTATAGTTATTCATATTTGGAGGATATAACTCTAATCAACAAGAAGTAATTTTTGTTTAGAAACTACTGCACAAGGTTTTTACTAAGGAAACATTTTTGAGGGAAAACCCAAAAATTAGTCGGTAAAGGTCATCCCTTACGAAAATTCGATTTCTATTCATTCAGACTAGACTTCTATTTACTAAACCATTTGCAAATTCAATGTAACACATAGCAGACAAATGTGGCAATGTTCCGCCCACATATACCCTACTAAATTTAACCCTACAAAATAAATTTCCTTGACCAAAGTTGGATGAATATTTTGTTATCAACGAAAACTTCTTTTCCTCGGTTTTTTGTAGTATGTATCAACTAAATTGATCAATGCAGGCATGAGATTGTGGGTATAGTAACAGAAGTGGGTGCCAAGGTACAAAAATTCAAAGTTGGAGACAAAGTGGGTGTTGGAGCCTTGATTGGATCATGTCGGAAATGTGAGAATTGCATTAACAATCTCGAAAATTATTGNAACAAAGTGGGTGTTGGAGCATTGGTTGGATCATGTCGGAAATGTGAGAATTGCATTAACAATCTCGAAAATTATTGCTCTGCACACCAACCCACAGACAGTCCTCCACCACCCTACAAAGATGGAATCACCAACTATGGGGGCTACTCTGACCACATGGTCGTTGATGAACACTTTGTGCTTCGTTGGCCCGAAAACTTGCCTCTTGATTCTGGTGCTCCCCTTCTAGGTAAGAGTCACAATTCTTGACACGGCAAATTAAATTAACAATACTGCACAAACCAGACATGAAATTAGCAAACGAAAACTTTTGTTTCACTGGCCTGGTAACTTGCCTCTTGATTTTTGGGATCCCCTTCTAGGTGCTGGAATAATAACTTACAGCCCTTTGAGATATTTTAAACTCGACAAGCCAGGTATGCATGTTGGGGTGGTAGGTCTCGGAGGGATTGGTCATCTAGCTGTGAAAATTGCAAAGGCTTTTGGGGTTAAAGTCACAGTGATTAGTACATCCCCAAAAAAAAAGGATGGAGCTATTAAATATCTTGGTGCTGACTCGTTTTTGGTCAGTAACGACTCAGATCAAATGCAGGTAATTAGTAGTAGGATTGTTATCATTGCAAAATGTTGATAAAATTCTAATTTTTTGTAGTGATCTCAGAACTTTATTTTCTATGTTATATTATGTTGAATATGGCTAGGCAGCAGCGGAGACAATGGATGGTATCATTGATACTAGCTCTGCAGTTCATCCTCTTTTACCGTTGATTAATCTATTGAAACCCCATGGAAAGCTTGTTATAGTCGGTGGAACAGAAGAGCCTCTACGTCTACCAGTGTGTCCACTGATTATTGGTAAGCATTCCACTTTTACTTGTATCATGAAAAATGAGAAAAGAATGTTCTTGCAAAGCTTAAAACCATCGTTGGATAACGTTTTTTTTTTTATATAATTTTTTTCAAGTAAAAAAGCAATTTTGTCAAAAACGTAAAAAAATATATTTAATTAGAAAGATTACTTTTTAGTACTTAACTAATACACTTAATAATTATAATTGTATCTTGTTATTCATATAATTATGGTTTGAAGAAGGGAGTTGCGCCAAACAAGCAAAAGCTACTTACAAAATTACTTCAAAAACATTAAAAAAAACGAAGTAATTTAAAAAATGTTACCAAATAGTACTTTGTTCTCTGGCATTCTAATACAAACAACTCTCTGGGGTATGGAATGATAGGTCGGAAGGTAGTGGCTGGGAGTGCCATTGGTGGGATAAAAGAGACCCAAGAAATGCTTGATTTTGCAGCAAAACACAACATCACAACCGATGTGGAGGTTATTTCTATGGACTACGTGAACACTGCAATGGAGCGTCTCCAGAAAGGCGATGTCCGCTACCGATTTGTACTCGATGTTGCAAACACATTGAAGGCCACTTAATGTGAACTTTTTGATTGCACCTGGATTTTGGTTTCTTGTGTGATTGTTTGTGTCTTCTATTTTAGTGTGATTTCTGTCAGGAGGATGGCCTCAATAAGAGTGTGTGTGTGTGTGTTTTTACGTTTTTGTACCAGAGAGTTGTCTTTCCACTTGGGCTTTATTTGTCATATCTAAATCAGTAAGACAAGTAAAAATGTACAACCTACCGGTACAATTTTAATAAAAATGTCCCATTATTGATATGGTACACTTTTCTTCATCTTCGTCTTCTATTGGTAGTTGTATTAGTATTAAAGTGGCTTGGAAACATTGCAAGGTTTTTTAAAAAGCTTTGTTGACGAGATGAGAGCTCTTCGCTCTCAACCACCATGAAACCCACCCAATCGAGTCCGTTCTTCCTTCCTGCAAACTGAATACCAGCCCACTCCCACTTTCACCCTTTCACTCTCCCACCACTCACCCCTTTGCCCCATTCTCACATACCCAAAACCCCTCTTTTTACCCCACCTACTTTACTTTACTATCACACCTGATTAATGGACCCTCAGCCATTAAAGCCAAGCCAGATTGCAGATCTGGAAGCAACAACACTGAGCTACCAGAAGCTCGTGTAAATGCCAGAGTGAACCCAGATGGGACAAAGGAGCTTAGCTTTAATGGCCCACATGGAAGCCATTCAAGAGATAAGGGGAAAACAGGGCAGGCACAGGTTCAAACAGAGGAAGTGGCGATTGGTGAAATTCCTTCTGTCGACACATCGAAATCTAGTGGTGAAACTTTAAAAAAGCCAATAGATGTTGTGGGGTTGCCAAAAGACAAGCAATATCCGACAAAGCCTCAACCTTACCTGCTGGATGCTCAGCAAAAACAACCCGCGCCTAGAGCATCTTGGAGCCAGGTCCTTAAAGAAGGACGGGCAGCTAACCACTCAGCCAATCAGAAAGAATGCCAAACCCTGGTAATGAAACTCCAATTTTTTGAGCCAAAAATGGAAAATAATAGAATTGTGGTCCACCCTCCTGAAGAAATTGGTAGGCAAGGATGTCTTGAATGGCAGAACTGTATTGTGGGATACTTCATTGGAAAGAAGCTTTCTTTTACCACTGTGAGTTACCTGGCACACAAGATGTGGGATAATCAAGGTCTTTTGGAGGTATTGGTAAAGGACAATGAATTTTACTACTTCAAATTCATGAATGATGAATCTAGAGCTAAAATCTTTGAGTCTGGCCCTTGGCTGCTATCAGGTAGGCCATTAATACTCCAGAAATGGCAACCAAATCTTTTGTTAACCAAGGAGAATCAATCCATAATCCCATTGTGGGTTAAACTCCACAATATTCCCCTCCTATTTTGGAACGAGAAAGGCCTGAGTTACATAGCAAGTGCTGTGGGGAAGCCTCTTTATGTAGATACACCCACCTCCAAGAAACACAGAATAAACTTTGCAAGAATCTGTGTTGAAGTGAATGCTAGAAATCCATTTATTGAAGCCTTTGATCTGAATGTGGATATCAATGGGATGGTTGAAACTGTGGAAATAAAGGTAGAATACCAATGGCAACCCAAGATGTGTTTTACATGTAAATTTTTTGGGCACAATGAGTCTTTATGCCCCAAAATCATGTCTAAGGCTAGGAATGATGTGGAGGAGCAAGCTGCAGTACTTCTTCTGAGCACAGACCAACCTGTCTTGTGCTTAGACAAGGGCAAAGCAGTGGCAGCTGTAGTGCTAGATACTGAAATAGTGGAGACTAATAAAAAGAGAGTTGCAGACAACCATGTGGTGTCTGGTAACGAGATTGAAGGGTATCCTCAGGTTGATTCTCAAGTCACATAAATCACAGTGAAACAAGTTGTGCCTCCCCAACAGGACACTAGGAGGATTACATCTAAGAACAAATATGCGGACCTGAGTCTAGAGGGAGGTGAAATCATTGTGGAATTAGCTGCTGAATCTCAACCTAGTACCTCAATCTGCAATGAGGTGACTAAGGAGAAGGAAAGAACAATTGGAAAAAATCATCCACCGGGAAGCAAAAAGAAAAAAGTGAAAAAGAAAGACCATGAGATAGGAAAGTCTAAGGTGACTGAGCACCTAATTCTCAGGAAAGTTCTCCCCCCTCAATGAAGCTTGCATGCTGGAACATTAGAGGACTTAACAAGCCCTCAAAGCAGGAAGAAGCCAGGAAGTTGATAGTGGAACAACAGCTTGATCTTTTGGGAATTGTTGAAACAAAAGTCAGGAGTGTGAATAAAGATAGTTTGATGCATAATGTGTTTCGAAATTGGGATTACCTAGCCAATTACGATAGCCATCATTTTGGAAGAATCTGGATTGGGTGGAACCCAAATAAAGTGAAAATTAATAAAATTGAGGAAACTGACCAAGTGATACATTGCTTGGTTAAACATTTTGATAGCAACTCACAATTTTTTGCTTCTTTTGTATATAGGGTCAAATGATGACATTGAGAGGAGAACTCTATGGAGGGGACTTAGGCACCATTCAAACGTTGTTGCCGCTGAATCATGGGTTGCTTTAGGAGACTTCAACGCTATTAGAACACCAAGTGAAACTACGAGAGGTCAAAGTAGTTGGTGTCAATCAATGGTGGATTTTGATGTTTGTTTGCAAGATTCAGAACTCATGGTTCTTAGGTACACTGGATTCAGTTTACTTGGAGTAATAGAAGAGAAGGGGAAACCGTTGTAGCCAGAAAGCTGGATAGAGTTCTGGTTAATGAAGCCTGGACTAACAGATTCCAAATGTCTACGGCTGATTTTCTTCCTGCAGTTGTCTCGGACCTTGGCCTAGCAATTGTTCAAATTGGCCCAAGGCTCCCTAAAAAAAAATGCCCCTTTAAATTTTTCAACCACATTGCAGCAAGAGAGGACTTTTTGGACCTTGTTCAGCAGATTTGGATTCAAAATGTACAAGGAAGTCGCCAGTTTCAAGTTGTCAGCAAGCTCAAAGGTCTCAAAGTTATTTTTAAAGGGATTATCAAGGAAGTAAGGGATGTTTCAGTGAAAGCAAGAGAGGCAAGAGAATCTCTAATGAGATGCCAAGGAAAGCTGGACACTAACCCTGCTAATACTGCATGGAGACAAGAAGAAATTCAGCTCCTGAAGGATTATACTCAAGCAGCCAAAGATGAAGAAATTTTTTACAAGCAGAAATCCAGAGTCCAATAGCTCAAAGAAGGAGACATGAACGCATCATATTTTTCAAGACAATGAATTGTAGAAGAAATAAGAAAAAGATTCTTACGCTTGATAGGGTGGATGGATCAAAAGCAGAGGGTGATCATGCAGTGAAGGAAGAAGCTGTTAATTACTATGCCAACTTATTNCGTTGAGGGCTTTCATTTGGAAGGGCACTGAGCTCAAATATACTGGAGCTAAAGTTGCATGGAATGATGTTTGCAAGTCAAAAAGAGAGGGTGGCCTGGGTATAAAAGGGTTGAAGGAATGGAACAATGTCTTGCTCCTGAGACATTTGTGGCAATTGTTTAATGACAAGAAAAACTTATGGACCCAATGGATACATGCTTACTATATAAGGGATCGAAACTTATGGGNTAAGCTAGACTTGCTGTCCCAGTCCAAGAGCGAAGAGCTGGTATGTAGTCCGTTGTTCAAAGCAAAATTCCACCACACACTGCTGCCGAAATGGTTAGAGAAGTGTCTAATGAAGAAATAAAGGAGGTAATCTTCTCTCTAAATGACCATAAAGCTCCTGGCCCAGATGGGTTTAATGCTCTATTTTTTAAGAAAGCTTGGTCAATCATTGGGCATGATATTACTGATGCAGTTAAAGAGTTCCTTACTTCTGGTCAGCTGCTTAGAGAGCTAAATAATACAATCATCACCTTGGTCCCCAAAGTTTCAAACCCCTCAACTATAGGGGATTTTAGACCAATCTCTTTTTGTAACACTCTTTATAAAGCTATCTCAAAGCTTTTAGCTAACATAATCAAAAAATGTCTTCCAAACCTTATCAATCCTATCCAAGCTGCCTTCATCCAAGGTAGAAGAATTGGGGACAACATCCTGTTAACTCAAGAGCTTATGAAAGACTACCACAGAGATTCTGGTCCCCCTAGATGTGCACTTAAAGTTGACATTAGGAAAGCCTTTGACACTGTCCAGTGGGATTTTCTGCTTGATGCTTTGAAAGCCTTTAATTTCCCAATAACAATGAGGAATTAGATCCATGCCTGCATTACTACAGCCAAGTTCTCGGTTAATATGAATGGTGAGCTGGCTGGTTACTTCTGAAATGTTAGAGGATTAAGACAGGGAGATCCATTATCTCCCTACCTTTTTATAATTGCAGTGGAGTTTCTATCCCTGATAACCCAGAACAACATAAAATCCAATCCCAGTTTAAGTTCCATTGGAGATGCTCAAAGCTCAGAATGGTTCAACTCTCCTTTGCTGATGATTTGATGTTATTTTGTCATGGTGATGCGACCTCTGTTCAAACCTTGAAGAGATCTCTTGACCAATTTGGCCAACTCTCTGGATTG